ACAACAACAAAACCCCTCCATAAGCACATTGGTTTGGCCATGTATGTTTGTTGCAGTACGGACTTAGACTGATGACCTTAATCTTAGTTGTCTTGTGGTTGTTGTTGTTTGACTTGCATCCCACTGGGATTTTTGCACACAGCGTTGGTGTACGGTGCTTTTTTCTGGAATATTTTGCTGTTTTTTCCTGGATTTTCTGTTTGCACATGCACAAAGTCACTTTAAGATGTTTTCTTGTTCATGTTTTATTTTTTTTGTTTGTTGCGGTTGCACCTGATTCAAGAGCCGAATGGCTCACAGGGCTATGCCAAATAAATGAAACTGAAAAACTAAAACATTCGTCAACAACTCAAGCCTTTTAATGCACCACAGCCTTCAATGGGCTGTAGGGATAAACGCTGTGATTTGCGAGAATCACAAATGTCCGGGTGCTAAAAATAAAAAAAAACGTAGCACGTAAAAAAAGTGTTGTTTTGGGTTTTTGTGTGCTTTTTGCACCACCGCAAGGTGTCACCAAATAATTCATTTACGCTAATTGCAGGTCACGAGGGCCTTCTCCGCGAGAGGGCGTACGAGGCCACGCGCGAACAAAACCTCCTCCTCCTTCGGTACGAAGAGGGTGAGAGTCGAGAGACTCCCAGGAAGGAGAGGAGGCGCACACGCAGACGTGAGTCATCAGAACGTCACTCGCGCACGTGGCCTTAGTGAGTAAGGGGAAAATTAAGCCACATGAGTGGGATTGTGGCCTTGCAGACCAAGCTAAGGATCATATAGTAAACCCATAGAGATACCATAGATAACCACAGAGATACATTGAGACATATAGACCCATAGAGACCTATAGAGATACATTGAGACCTATAGACCCATAGAGACCCATAGGGATACATTAAATAAAAGCCATATGATTGCGGTCTTGCAACTCAATCTAAGAATCATATAATAAAGCCATATAGATAGAGATACCCATAAAGATACATAGAGATACATTGAGACCTATAGACTCATAGAGACCCATAGATATACATTGAGACCTAGAGACTCATAGAGACCCATAGAGATACATTGAGACCTATAGACTCATAGAGACCCATAGAGATACATTGAGACCTATAGACTCATAGAGACCCATAGATATACATTGAGACCTAGAGACTCATAGAGACCCATAGAGAGACATTGAGACCTATAGACTCATAGAGACCCATAGAGATACATTGAGACCTATAGACTCATAGAGACCCATAGAGATACATTGAGACCTATAGACTCATAGAGACCCATAGAGATACATTGAGACATATAGACTCATAGAGACCCATAGAGATATATTGAGACCTATAGACTCATAGAGACCCATAGAGATACATTGAGACCTATAGACTCATAGAGACCCATAGATATACATTGAGACATATAGACTCATAGAGACCCATAGAGATATATTGAGACCTATAGACTCATAGAGACCCATAGAGATACATTAAAGACAAGCCAGAGTAGTGCGGTCTTGCAACCCAAGCTAAGAATCACAAAGTAAACCCATATAGATACGTAGAGACCTATAGAGATCCATAGAGGTACATAGAGACCCATAGAGACACATAGACACCCATAGAGACACATAGAGACCCATCGTGGTTGTCTTTTGGGAGGAAAAAAAAACGACCACCAAGCACATAGGAACGTGGAATTTCCACCGCTCAGCGTGCAGCGATCAGAATCAATAATTTATTATTTTTGTCTTGTTTTTTTTTGCAATCTCGTTCGTATTGTTTCTCTGTCTCGTCTGTACTTGTATTCAGTTCTTTACCTCGAGCGTCTCATGAGCAATGAATGTTCACATGATTCGCCAGACATCGAGAATAAAAACAACATTCTTGTTCGCGGGATTCTACGCGTGCTTTGTGAGCCGTAACAATCGGAGCTGGTAAAGCTGCTACAGAGGCAGCGGTTAGCGGATCATGCAGAGATGGCGACACGGTGTCCATAGGAGTCAGTAGAGCAAGTAAGTGGCTACCCTTTATTCGTGAAAATAATTATTTGATGGTGCTAAATCGCGCAAAAAACTCAACGCATTCTTCAATAACACTGTGGCCTTGAAAGGAAAAAAAGTACTCAGTAGGCGACGTTTCGGGTAATGGCCCTTCTTAACAGCACAGATCAGAGATGGAGACACGGTTTCCGTGATACCCTTCTACCACATGTGCTATGTTCGACCAAATCCCATTGGTATTAGGGATTGCTCATTGCCCAATACAATTAGGGTTTGCTCATATCCCAATACAATTAGGGTTTGCTCATATCCCAATACTCTTAGGGATTGCTCATCCCAATACTATCAGGGGTTGCTCGTAGCCCAATACTATTAGGGATTGCTAATATCCCAATACTATTAGGGGTTGCTCGTAGCCCAATACTATTAGGGCTTGCTCATACCCCAATACTATTAGGGGTTGCTCATAGCCCAATACTCTTAGGGGTTGCTCATATCCCAATACTATTAGGGGTTGCTCATATCCCAATACTATTAGGGGTTGCTCATATCCCAATACTATTAGGGGTTGCTCATATCCCAATACTATTAGGGGTTGCTCATATCCCAATACTATTAGGGGTTGCTCATATCCCAATACTATTAGGGATTGCTCATATCCCAATACTATTAGGGGTTGCTCATATCCCAATACTATTAGGGGTTGCTCATATCCCAATACTATTAGGGGTTGCTCATATCCCAATACTATTAGGGGTTGCTCATATCCCAATACTATTAGGGGTTGCTCATATCCCAATACTATTAGGGGTTGCTCATATCCCAATACTATTAGGGGTTGCTCATATCCCAATACTATTAAGGGTTGGCAGTGCTATTTGGTATTCGCAGTAGAGGGCGCCGTAGAGTCAAAGTACCAATAAAGTATTGTGTTGTATTGTGTTGTATTGTGTTTATTGTGTTGTATTGTATTGTGTTGTATTGTGTTGTATTGTATTGTGTTGTATAGTGTTGTATTGTGTTGTATTATATTGTGTTGTATTGTATTGTGTTGTATTGTATTGTGTTGTATTGTGTTGTATTGTATTGTGTTGTATTGTATTGTGTTGTATTGTGTTGTATTGTATTGTGTTGTATTGTGTTGTATTGTATTGTGTTGTATTGTGTTGTATTGTGCTGTATTGTGTTGTATTGTGTTGTATTGTGTTGTATTGTGTTGTATTATATTGTGTTGTATTGTGTTGTATTGTGTTGCATTGTGTTGTATTGTGCTGTATTGTGTTGTATTGTATTGTGTTGTATTGTGTTGTATTGTATTGTGTTGTATTGTGTTGTATTGTATTGTGTTGTATTGTATTGTGCTGTGTTGTATTGTGTTATGTTGTATTATATTGTGTTGTATTGTGTTGTATTGTGTTGTATTGTATTGTGTTGTATTGTGTTGTATTGTGTTGTGTTAGCACCCCGATTTACATCGTGACCCAAACTCGCTTCCCCCTACCGCCTCCAAGAAAGCACATATACATGCCCGTCTGAAGTTTGCCAATGAACATCTGAAAGATTCAGAGGACAACTGGGTGAAAGTGATGTGGTCAGATGAGACCAAAATGGAGCTCTTTGGCATCAACTCAACTCGCCGTGTTTGGAGGAGGAGGAATGCTGCCTATGACCCCAAGAACACCATCCCCACCGTCAAACATGGAGGTGGAAACATTATGCTTTGGGGGTGTTTTTCTGCTAAGGGGACAGGACAACTTCACCGCATCAAAGGGACGATGGACGGGGCCATGTACCGTCAAATCTTGGGTGAGAACCTCCTTCCCTCAGCCAGGGCATTGAAAATGGGTCGTGTATGGGTATTCCAGCATGACAATGACCCAAAACACACGGCCAAGGCAACAAAGGAGTGGCTCAAGAAGAAGCACATTAAGGTCCTGAAGTAGCCTAGCCAGTCTCCAGACCTTAATCCCATAGAAAATATGTGGAGGGAGCTGAAGGTTCGAGTTGCCAAACGTCAGCCTCGAAACCTTAATGACTTGGAGATGATCTGTAAAGAGGAGTGGGACAAAATCCCTCCTGAGATGTGTGAAAACCTGGTGGCCAACTACAAGAAACGTCTGATCTCTGTGATTGCCAACAAGGGTTTTGCCACCAAGTACTAAGTCATGTTTTGCAGAGGGGTCAAATACTTATTTCCCTCATTAAAATGCAAATCAATTTATAACATTTTTGACATGCGTTTTTCTGGATTTTGTTGTTGTTATTCTGTCTCTCACTGTTCAAATAAACCTACCATTAAAATTATCGACTGATCATTTCGTCGTCAGTGAGCAAACGTACAAAATCAGCAGGGGATCAAATACTTTTCTCTCTCACTGTATTGACATATCACGGCAAGCCTGGTTCGTGGCGCAAGGCGATAACCGCTGTGTCGCCGCTCCCCACACCACCAACACCATCACCAGCACTTCCTCCTGCACCACCACCATCACCACTTCCTCCTGCAACACCACCACCACCACCACCACCTCCACCACCAACACCATCATCACCACTTCCTCCTGTACCACCTCCATCACCAACACCACCATCACCACTTCCTCCTGCATCACCACCACCAACACCACCACCACTACCACCACCAACACCATCATCACCACTTCCTCCTGCAACACCACCACCATCTGCACAATAACCTCCAACACCATCATCACCACGATCAGTTCCTAAATCACCACCACACCATCATCATCAATATCACCTCCACCACCATCACCACCATCACCACCACAATCACCTCCTCTTCCACCATCAAAATCACAGCCGCCACAATCATCATCATCATCATCGTCTTCTCCTCCACCACAATTAGCACCTCCTCCATCACGAACATACCATCATCACCACCACTACCACCACCACATCACGAACCACTACCTCGTCCTCCACCAGCACCACAAGCACCATCAAGACCACCCACCATCACCAGCACCACCACCAACCACCACCAACCACCACCACCAAGTCTCCACCTCCAAACCTTCCGTACACCCCCCCTCGCCGCGGGGCGTGAACCCGTCCGGCCACGAGGTTTCGCGAGTCACAGTCGCAGAGTTTTGTAGTGGCGATAGCGGCCGCCTTCACCACAGGGCGCGTTCGTGGTGGTTGGTTTGGGTTGGTGGTGGTTGTAGAGCGGAAGCTGAGCTAGATAGGTGATCTCAATCCATCAATTAACCCTCCCCACCGCTCCCCCCCCCCTATATTGCTGGCGTTTGTGGAATCGATTCAAACCCCCCCTAGTAGGGTTTTTTGTTTTGTTTTTAAAAAACAAAACAAACAGCAGTCGCGACTTGTTAGGTCGGTGAGGTATGCGACACGCCGCACGTGCGTAATGCGACATGCGCACGGCTGTCTGCGGCGATGTATACTGTCGGCTGGCGGAGAGAACGCGGGGAGTTTTGCGGGAGATGAGGAGCGCGCATTGAGTCGGCCGACGAGGCGCGCGGATGGGACGCATCGCGCGCAACGAACGGTTGCGTCAGGCGAATAGGGGAGAGGGCGCGGAGATTTGTGTCAGAGATAATGGGGAGATGTAAACAATGCAGAGCGGTAGGGAGATAAATAGAGGCGGAGGGAGATAAGGCCGAGGTAGGCAAACAGAGAGATACACAGAGAAAAAATATATATATAGAGAGAGACACACACACGCGCGCATAGGCAGACACGCGATGAGATGCACCGCGTGTCACACAGAGAGACATTGAGACAGTCAGAGACACAGGCACAGGGGGGCGACTCCAGTAGGACATAGTAAGACGGAGAGAGTCACAAAGGGGCATACGCAGAGACAGACAGAGAGACACGCAAACACAGGGGCGGTCGCAGAGGCACATTGAGACAGACGGACGTCGGGGCGAGACCAGCGGCACGAAGAGCAAGGGACGGGACAGACGACGGAGAGACGCGCGCACGTCCAAGCGCACAGAGTGAGAAGGCGGAGAGGGGCGACTGCGTGCGAGTCGCCTTCAACTCGCCACAGTCCACCTGGGAACGCCTTTCCACGCACGCGGCCACCACCACCACCACGCGACTCCCACTCCTTTGAGGGCACGATCCTCGGGTGGGCATTGCCACCACTACTACCACCAACCACCACCACCACCAACCACCACCGCCTCTAACCACCATCACCAAAGGTCGAAGCGCAGAGGAGAAAGAGCTTCCTAGCCCCGCGTCTGGCCGGCGGAATCGAGGATCGGCCTCGCCATGAGAAGGCGGCACAGGAGACCCGGTCTGCTGCACATATCGCTCTGCACTGGGATCATACTTGCTCGGCTGGGGTAAGAGACGCGTCCGATGCGCGTCGGAAGACGCTCGCTTGGTTGGATGCTCGTGCGTCGCCTCGCCTGGCTCCGCGAGTCCTGGCGATGTCGCTGACGTCGCTTATTTGGCGAATGCCTTCGTCGTGGTTGTTGTTTGTGTGTAGGTCGACTCAGCTACAAATTTAGCACCCGGTGCGCTGTGTAACCATGGGAACTGGGGAGACAAAGGCGGTCGGGAGTGGTGCTGGCCACCCACACCCCCTCGCGTGCCGTTCCGGCCTGCATCGGTTGTGCTGCACGCAAACGGCGCTTGCCCTGAAGGTCTGTTCAAGGCTACATGGGGGCTACATGGGGGATCTTTGTCTTTCGTCTTTGGGGAACGTCGGTGTAGTCGTAGTGCAGCGGACTGGCGCCACAGAACCCGGCCACCCGAGTTCGATTCCCGCTGTCGTTTCCCAGTTCTCCTCTAGGTCTACTCAGCCTCAAACGAGAAGCAGGCGACCGAGCGTGTTGCACCACCGACCCCTCCCCCCCCCCCCTTGTGCGCCATTCTATCCTTAATAGGTGCTCGCTAACAGAGCGCTCACCCAGAGCCTGCAGTTATCAACGGAACGTATTCATTTGCGAGGCGTGCGCGTTGTACATGCGCATCTTATACTGCAGTATTTATTATATGTGTACTCCATACATTCTATGTGAATCGACTGTTGGGGCAAACAGGGGTGGTACGGTAACGGGCACACGCGCCAGAGCGTCTTTGTATCCCCGGTTATGATACTTCACACACACACACACACCGCATCAGACACTAGTTTTCAGGCTGAGTCGACCTAGGAGGCGTGGGGAGAGGTGGGGGGCAGTCCCAACACGGGCGGACACGCGCACAAAGGCAAAGATTTGTCCCCGTGTAGCCTGCGGCGCGCTTGGGACAAGTGCTGTTCGCGAGCAACCAATGTTGCCCGGTCGCCTTTCACATACACACAACGGATACAGTCCAAAGCACACACACACACATGCACACGTGTACGTATGCATACATGCACGTACACAGATATGACATTATATATACACCACACACCATATATACACACGCACACATATACTCACGCAGTGTGTGTATGCATATGCGTGTGTGTATGTGTATGTACGCACACATACACACACGCATATGCACGCACTCACATACACGTACAGCGAGGGAAAAAACGTATTTGATCCCCTGCTGATTTTGTACGTTTGCCCACTGACAAAGAAATGATCTGTCTATAATTTTAATGGTAGGTTTATTTTAACAGTGAGAGACAGAATAACAACAACAAAATCCAGAAAAAACGCATGTCAAAAATGTTATACATTGATTTGCATTTCAATGAGGGAAATAAGTATTTGACCCCTCTGCAAAATATGACTTAGTAGTTGGTGGCAAAACCCTTGTTGGAAATCGCAGAGGTCAGACGTTTCTTGTAGTTGGCCACCAGGTTTGCACACATCTCAGGAGGGATTTTGTCCCACTCCTCTTTGCAGATTTTCTCCAAGTCATTAAGGTTTCGAGGCTGACGTTTGGCAACTCGAACCTTCAGCTCCCTCCACAGATTTTCTATGGGATTAAGGTCTGGAGACTGGCTAGGCCATTCCAGGACCGTAATGTGCTTCTTCTTGAGCCACTCCTTTGTTGCCTTGGCCGTGTGTTTTGGGTCATTGTCATGCTGGAATACTCATCCACGACCCATTTTCAATGCCCTGGCTGAGGGAAGGAGGTTCTCACCCAAGATTTGACGGTACATTGTCCCGTCCATTGTCCCTTTGATGCGGTGAAGTTGTCCTGTCCCCTTAGCAGAAAAACACCCCCAAAGCATAATGTTTCCACCTCCATGTTTGACGGTGGGGATGGTGTTCTTGGGGTCATAGGCAGCATGCCTCCTCCAAACACGGCGAGTTGAGTTGATGCCAAAGAGTTCCCTTTTGGTCTCATCTGACCACAACACTTTCACCCAGTTGTCCTCTGAATCATTCAGATTTTCATTGGCAAACTTCTGACGGGCATGTATATGTGCTTTCTTGAGCGGGGGGACCTTGCGGGCGCTGCAAGATTTCAGTCCTTCACGGCGTAGTAGTGTTACCAATTGTTTTCTTTGTGACTATGGTCCCAGCTGCCTTGAGATCATTGAAAAGATCCTCCCGTGTAGTTCTGGGCTGATTCCTCACCGTTCTCATGATCATTGCAACTCCACGAGGTGAGATCTTGCATGGACCCCCAGGCTGAGGGAGATTGACAGTTGTTTTGTGTTTCTTCAATTTGCGAATAATCGCACCAACTGTTGTCACCTTCTCACCAAGCTGCTTGGCAATGGTCTTGTAGCCCATTCCAGCCTTGTGTAGGTCTGCAATCTTGTCCCTGACATCCTTGGAGAGCTCTTTGGTTTTGGCCATGGTGGAGAGTTTAGAATCTGATTGATTGATTGCTTCTGTGGACAGGTGTCTTTTATACAGATAACAAGCTGAGATTAGGAGCACTCCCTTTAAGAGTTTGCTCCTAATCTCAGCTCGTTACCTGTATAAAAGACACCTGGGAGCCAGAAATCTTTCTGATTGAGAAGTTGTCAAATATTTATTTCCCTCATCAAAATGCAAATCAATTTATAACATTTTTGCCATGCGTTTTTCTGGATTTTGTTGTTGTTATTCTGTCTCTCACTGTTCAAATAAACCTACCATTAAAATTATAGACTGATCATTTCTTTGTCAGTGGGCAAACGTACAAAATCAGCAGGGGACAAGTACTTTTTTCCCTCACTGTACATATACACATACATGCAATTGCGTATAATGTACACATATACATATTGTATATGCACGCAAACAGATAAACTCAAATATATTGAGTTGGGGCGAGTGCTATAAGCGAGCACCTACGAAGGCCGGAACGGCACACGAGGGGGTGGGTGGCCAGCACCACGCACGGCCGCCTTTGTCTCCCTAGCCGCGATTATTTCTGCACCGGGTACTCATTCGATGCTGAGTGGACCTAAAGGAAGTCCAGGTCCGGTTCAGAGAATCGTCACCGATGGTGGCCGTGAGAGGGAATCGAACTCGGGTCGCCAGGTTCGTAGCATGGCGCAGCGCGCTAGCCGCTACGCTACCACTCCCCGCACATACACACACACACACGTACACACGTACACACGTACGTACACATACACACGTACACACACACACGTACATACACACACGTGCACACACACACGCATACACACACACGTACACACACACACACGTACACACACGCGCACACGCGTACACACACACGCGTACGCACGCGTACACACACACACACACGCGTACACACACACGCGTGCACACACACGCGTACACACACACGCGCGTACACACACACGCGTACACACACACACACGTACACACACACACGTGCACACACACGTATACACACACACGTACACAGACACACACACACGCGTATACACACACACACACGCGTACATATGCGTACACACACAAGACATGTACACACACGCGCGCGACTTGGTATGTCACGACGGCACGTGTGATCCTGACAGCTCGTAGTCACTACGCGGTGTTCATGTCAAACGCACAGCGTCTGTGTGCTGTGATACACCCACTTCAATGATCGATTCATAGCGCCGCTTGAACGTTCGCAACATTATCACGGTTTTTATTTCAACTACCGAAACAACGCGACAACGCATATGCAGGACATTGTACGCGTAGGTATACAACCACACAGTCACGTGCGACGTCCATCCTGTGTCTGTGTGGTCGTATGTGAAGTCCATCCATTCATTTCTCAATCGCTCGACTGTTCACCCACTTGAAGCCACTGCGTAAAGTGTCCGCGGCTGTGCTGACGAACGGCTTCCTCGGGATCGTATCGCGTGTTGGTTCGGCACGATGTCCGACGTTTCGCTCCACGTGCTAGGATGGGATGGGAGCTTACTTTGTTTTTTTAAGGAATTTAATTTTTATTCAGCGGAGCGTTAACGTTTTTTTGGCGATTAAATCTGGGTTGTTTCCAACACCATCATCAACATTATCATCAACACTATCAACACAACCAACATTATCGTCATCATCAACATCATCAACATCATCAAAACCATCAACACCATCACCAACATCATCATCATCATCAATACCACCAACATCATCATCAACGTCATCAACATCAACACCATTAACACCACCAACAGAACCAACACCATCATCATCAACACCACCAACACCACCATCAACATCATCAACACAACCAACATCATCATCATCAACACCGCCAACACAACTAACGCCACCAAAGCTACCAACACAGATCCCCCGTGAAGCCTTAACAGACTGCTGGGGCAAGTGCTGTTAGCGAGCACCAATTCATCCCTAAGGCACACGAGGGGGTGGGTGGCCAGCACCACGCCCGGCCAATACGCAATTGCAGGGCTGTTCCAACACCACCAACACCAATCGTGGGACTTGCTCAAGGCTCCGTCATGACATGCACACGCCAATTTATCCCTGAAATTGTTTTCAATATACAGTATTTGATGACCTTTACTCAAATGTCAAGGGTTGTCGAATTGGCCTTCTCAATTCAAGAGCGCATTTCGTCATATCGACGATTTTTAATTGTCGTTAGATTCGATTACTAATCGATTACTAATCGTTACTAATTATAGCGCTCGATTAATCATTTACACCGTCTTGGTCAATCCACTGCTGGATGAAGGCCAACCCTCCCTAAGCATCCGACGCCACCACCATCTCTCCCCGATCGTGAAGAATAACAATCCACCGCTTGCACTCTCAACACCACATTCTGTCATCGCTCCGTCTCAGCGGCGGTCGCCCTACTGTCGGACGCGTTCCGCATTCAGGATATTAACACGGAATCATTTTTTTAAATGATCCTCATGGCGGTACCCCGGGATACCAAATAATACAAAATGGGCAGAGGCAATTAAATATTTTATTTCTGGGACACTATTTTTTTCCAG